TGTGTCCATACAAGATGCTACCACCGTAGCAAAAAAGCAAATTCAAAGCATATTCGACCAGACAAAAGCGATAAAACAGGATCTATTAATACTGAATGAGATGATCAAGACCAGTATACATCAGCAACGCACAGAAAACACGATTACAAGAGCCGGTATTGAAAACATGTTTGAAGAACTGAAAACTTTGTTAGATAACAGAAAAAAGGAGTTGGTCAAGCAGGTAGACGATAGTGAACGTACACAAATCAGTGTACTTCAAAAAAAAAATCAGTCAGTTGAGCAACAATTAAATGCAATAGATACGAGAGATCAGTGCGCGAGACAGGTTATGGATAGAAGTAATAACACTGACATTCTGAAGATAAAAAGTGATTTAATCAATGGCTACAATTCAGCGGAAGATGAATATCACAAACTAGTTCGTGGTGTTACGGTTACAACTTTGCAGTTGATTAATACGCCAGGCCCTATTCAGATAGTGAAGAAACAGCTTTCAAATTTAGGAACGTTTCGGAACAAATCGCTGCCTGTAAGATTGAACATCATCATGCAAAGTACTCGTACCACAGTCTCATCGTCAGAAAGATGTAAACACCAACAGGAAGAATCTGAAGATGAGGACAACAACGCGGTCATTTTTGAGTGATCAACGACGTGGACATTTTTAAAAAAGGAAAATGAGATTTTTCGAGGTTTGAAGTGTCCAATGTACACTTGCTAACCAACCATTGATTGGTGTAAAAATTGTAGTCCTACCTTTCTTTAACCCATTGCCCGCTGACGACATCATTGAATAGAACAAATTGGGCTACTGATATATCAGTGGACAGCGTGCAATGTGTTAAAGGTCGTTGAGAAAAGTAAGTCACAAAGATCCGCTTTCGTATACTAATTAGCAGAAAACGTATTGTTTGTTGCACTATTACCGGCGCTAAAATACAAGACCGGTCCTAATTTTTTGAATTACTCAAGAGGAATGAAAGATAGAGACATGCGGTTTTCATCATTCGCTCTGAGGCTATGTTTTCTTAAGCAAAAACGAGTTTGGAAAATTTTCAAAGATCGGTTTTTAGGAAATCTGTGGAAAACCAGTTCGACTCTCTGAAAGCTGACATAGAAATCTATGGATTTGTTTTCATACATATATAGTCCGAAGTGTCTTTTACAAAACTCGAAAACCGAAGTGTTCTATATATATAATAAATTTTAAACGGGTATAAAGATTTTGAAAACAGCCAGATTAAACTGAACGACTTTTCTAAATAGACCGAAAGATAGAGCAAACATTACTCTACAAAATAAAGTGTTTACTAAAAAGACTTTCTGCATCACTAATGTCTCGGAAAAAGTTCCTGTCCATTCTCCATTCGTCATAAAAACTCGGTTCTTGCCTAGATCGATAGAGAAATGAAAAGAAAATACTTACTACGCAAAAATATGTAAACATTTTTGTTCTTTCATTCTACTATTGACTAATTAGCGTTAGTTTAGCCTATTCCACTAGCTCAAAGTCCCATTTGTAAAATAATGACTAAACAAAAGCATTCAAGCAATACCTCACCTGATAGAGAATTCAACGGGCTACGAGACATGCTATCTTATAAATTTTAGAATCCATTTTTGACTGCTGAGTAGGTCTGGTTTCTTGCTCCGCTAACAAGCTGATAAGGCTTTATGAGCGCATGAAGCTTTTCCACATCTATTTTCAAGACCTGGGATAATTGCTTCTAGTCAAAGGCAATTTCATATATTTTAAATTTCAAATCACTGACAGCTGAACGTAATATTTCTGAATGTTCTATCCTGAAAAAATCTCTCCTTCTCCACTGCGGCTGCTACATTACTATGAGTATAACTTAAATGATCAGTATTTTTTGTAATTTCTCAGTATATTTTGCTCAGTATTATATGCACATATCAGTAAACAAATCAAACGATCAGTATCAAATTTAATGCTCAGTAGATATCGTATCTGCTCAGTTAAATAATCGTTTGCTCATTAAATTAATAGTTTTTTAAATATTAAAACTAAAATATCAGTAATTAATTACGTTTGCTCATTAAAAAATTCGTTTTTTCATTAAATGAATAGTATTTTACCAGTAGTAAACATACACAGGCTATGTCACATAGTATCCCTCGATTATCACATACAAATGTTGACCCAGATCTCTTTCTCTTTCTGTTCTATATATTTTTCTTCTGTCATCTCTCGTTCAGATGTTTATACAGATGTGGTTTGTCATCGTCTTTTCTTGACCTACTTATCGTATTTTATTACAGTTGTTCAATATTTCACAGTTACATAAGAGAATGGCTGTATCGTCTTTTTTCTTTGTTTTCAGTTTAACTAAGGAGAAGAAGATTCACGGATTATTCCTTGTTTTCTCCTGTACCTATCTCTATATAAATACTTCGTTTCTTCAATAAACTAAGCTTATTTTTCGATTGTAAATTCGTTACTACTGATTTTGTATAAAAATGGCAACGACAATGACAGTTATTGAAATACCATCTTATGTTTCTGATGAAGAGATGGATATAGAGAAAGCGGTATGTGATGGACACGCTGAACAAGCGATCAAGGAAGAAAATCAATGGAGTCACCACTATACGAATACAACAAATGAAGGGAAAAAGAAGTATTTTAGATGCAATAAGGTGAAACTTCGTGGAAGACAATGTGATGCTTGCATTTATTTGTTATTTGACTCCACAAGCGATGAAGTTGTTTTGTTCCGTCAGTAGAATTTTCTTAACTATCATTCTACTTTTTTTACTGGTAAAAATTTATGAAAAACTGAGCAAAAATAAATTAAATACTAATCATTTTCAAATAAAATACTGATTCTTTTTGAATTAAATACTGAACTTTTCTAGTTATTTACTGTGCAAAAATGAATTTTCTACTAATCAAACACAACTGATCATTGAAGAAAATATACTGGTCATTCACTATAAAATACTGTTCACTAAAATACAAGCCCATTACTATTACTAGTAATAAGTAATACAAAAGCGTTATTACGTATTTTAGTTAATAATTAATTAAATTTAATTAATTAAATTTATTACTTAGTAATAAGTAATAATTACAAAAAGTGATAAAAGTAATAAAAAGTAATAAGAAAATAAAAAGATGATAGAAAATACTTTTAATCATCAATTGGATTTCGGTTCTCACATTGAGACATTAACACAATATCGAAACTTATTTTGGCGTCGTGAGTTATTTTTCAATGTTTATGCGAGAGTGATTGGACGGCTATGGTCTCTCGACTATGAAGATCACTGACTGCTCAACTGGTGCTACTTGATGTGTTAAAGGTTAATTTAGCCTCTTAACGAAGCCTCCTTCATTTTAATTAATAGACACCTGTTTCCGTCTTTGCCAGTTTATAAAATTTTTCACTACCTTTTCGCTTGAACCATTTACGTACATATTGATACTATATTGTCCAGTTTTCGAAAAGTAGAAAATTTGCCTTATAAACTTACTTTATTGATAATCTATCATGATGAGTCGGTCAGAAGTAGTTTCAGATTCTTTGAGATTTCTAGAGGACGTCCATAAAACTCTTTAGATTTGTATTAGGTTGAGCACTTTTTACATTCAATTTGAGAAGTTTGCATTATTTTCTCGCCTATGCTGGTTGTGAACGCTGACCGAAGGGTCGCGTGAGCGTTGTCTTGGATTCGAAAATATTTTCAGTAATACGCGAGTCTTTGATGCGTCTCGAAAATCCTTTTAATATTTATATTAGATGACGAATCTTCCACGTCCACATGAAATCAGAGAAGACTCCACAAGATACGGTAGTTAGACTCGCTGTGATTTGAAAGCCACAGAAGAGAGTTCGCTAGTGCATTTATAAGTTCGTAAAGGCAAGTGACGCGTGTAGACGAGCGTTATCTTGTCAAATAAAAGATCTACATCAATATATTAATATATTTTGAGATGGTAAAGGCAAACTCCAATGGAAATACCTTTTTCATTATCTTCACAGTCGACAAGACAAATAGTCGTTGCGGTAATTAACGGGACTGAAAGCAAGGCAAGAACAGCTATAATATAACAGAAGCCTCTTGTATATTGTTTTCTTCTGGGAGTTTCACACATGTTTGACCAATAACTGATATCTTTGTGACAATAACTTAGTTCTTCCACTTATCTAATTCATACCGCACTTATCGTTTTTGTTATTACTTTATTACTGTAACAACTTATTACTCAATAGAAAGCACAATAACAACAGCGTTTTTTAACTTCATTAAAGTATTTTATTTAATTATCAATTATTTTCGACGTTTCGAACTATACAAAGTTCATTTTCAAGAATAAAAACACGATGTACGTAACTTATGAAAACGAAAATGTTATTCATTTAGCGCAAGTAAGAAATATATAGATATACAGTACCGATAGACGAGAAACAAGGGGAATAAACGAGGAAAATATTTTTAAAAAGAGCTAACAATGAGGCAAGAGAAAGACTTCAGCATTTGAGCAAGTAACACGCGATACAATAAATCTCACTTTAGCATAACACACTTGAAAGAGTCCTGTTAAATATAAGAGAATACACATGAAGATGAAAATCCTGTGTTCGAGAAAAATGTGCGATTCTAAGCAAGTTGAGTAACTGTAATGCAGAGTCCAGTAGAATCACACTATGCAATCCTATTTTACGCTTTAAGAACCCATTTCTTGCCAAATGGGTTCAAGGCTCTAAGGGCGTACCTTCCTGTTTCCCGTTAGTTTTGCTGATATGGGGCCTTCTATAAATTGAATGCTGCTCCATGAATAAATGTCGTAATGAGCTGGGAGACGTCTAATTTTCTTCAGAAATGTTTACTCTACACGATGAATGTATTTGCAAAGAATTTCTAGATTGAACTCGAGGACTTGGTTTATTATTATTCTACATTAAAATAATAAAAGAACCAAAACACAGCTGTATGTGTGTATCACAATAGGTGGTGTTATATATTTTAGTTTAAAATGAATCTGTATCTGTTTGTTCATTATCATTAAACCCATGTTCATCAATATAAAGTTGAAAAACATAATATAATGAATGAGATTTATTTTCGTTTATATGTTCTTTTGCTAAACGTGTAGCTAATTGACGCTGATCAAACACTTCGCGTACTTTAAAAAAATGATTACTAGTTGACCATTGATTATACTTTTGCATTTGATTATTTTCACCATAAAGATATATTGTATGTATATAACTTATACTACATAATTGTTCAACAAAAAATTTTTTTGTATCATCATTACCATCAATAAAAAGAAACACTATTATTGTTTCATTTTTGTACGTTGGAATCAATTCTAATAAGTTTTGTTTATTTGAAACAAACGTGTATGAATAAATTTTGAGTGTTCTTCAAAAAGATTTGGATTGTATACAATAATAACCATATTTTTTGGTTTTTAATAAATGATAATAGTAGTACTAGTAGAGCGTATACATTTTATAGTTAATAACACACGGAAGTGATCTATTTTTTTAGGAAAATTAACAAGCGCACAAAAAAGCATGACAAACAATATTTGGTATACGCAAGTGTGATTGACATCAAGGAACTGCGTTGATGCATAACAAAGGGAAATATATTTATTAAAATTCTTTTTACTGTTATTGCTAGAAAATATATGTCACAATTCCACTTCTTTTACTCGATAATACAGTTGTACACATATCATAGTTAATATTTGCAGATGTTTTTATTACCTGAGGTAGATTTAACATCTGTAAATGCATATTTGTATAAGATCGTACATAATCTTTTAATGGCATATTTGTTCGTTATCAGTATCTTTCAGCAAAGTATTCTTTATACCATTTAACGGGATGTTACAATTTTACACCTTTATTAGTTTCAATAATTGCAATTATATGTAACTTGTTTTTACACTCTGTTCTGGAATAAAATGATAAAAATTATTCTTGATTCAACAAATAAAAGTATCGAAGAAGGATGACAAATAATATTCGGCATACTCAAGTGTGGTTGACATCACGGAACTACGTTGATGTATGACAAAAAGAAATATGTTTATTACAGACCGTTTTACCATTTTTGCCAGAAAACAGAGATTGAAACGGCGTTCATCTGATGGGATTCAGATGAAATAAAAAGTTATATCAGATGCTTCAGAATACATCGGTCATTTAGTATTTTGTTCATATCTCTGTTACATTTTATCTTCTAAGCTTTATTGGTTTTTTAGGTTTAAGTTTCGATAAAAAGTGTTTTTTTTAGCCTCTAAGAAGAGATATGCTCGAGCACTGCTTTAACGAAGTATAATATGATATCGAAGCAAGTAATGCATGAATAATGCGGACTGTTACCAAGTGCTCCTATCTCAGCAAAGAGAAAAATTCAGCAATGCAGCAGAAGGCCGTAAACGTTGTCAAACCATGCTTTGAAAGGGTAGTAGTTTCTTCAACAGTGCTGTGATAGATGAGATATGTGTAGTCCACCGATGCTCGATTACACTGCCTATTCACTTATGCGCATCTCTCATTTCATTCATCATATCTCACCCTCTCCCTCACCTCAACTTAGCGTACCGTAGCGAGTTTTTGGTGCATGGATCCAACTTTGTAATTCCGCTGTCAACATTATTATCGTCAATTTGTCCATTTAACTGCCGAATCAAATAATTTACCGTCTCAAAACAAGCTTTAACATACGTTTTCGAATTCAGTATGAAAACAGCTCATCTGAGCGAACTCAGTAAAAACAACAGATAGGCGGATATTATACAGTTGAAAGGCAAAATACCGCAATAAGTACCACCATAAATTATTCCTAATTTAACGTAAAAGACTTCAAAACGTAATTGTTACAGAACAGCGAAGATCTAGAGTCTTGTTGTCAAGGCCAATGACAAGTCTAATTTCCCTATGTCTCTCTCGTCCCTTTACGCTATTGGAAAAAACCATCTTCTCAGTATAAACCGACCATTACAAAACTTAGATTACTCGACCTTTATCGAAATCATGTTTTTTTTGTTAGATCACAGTTCTTCGAAAATTCCTGATTAAATCAAATAATTTTCTGAAAAAAGCTAACTCTCATCTATAACAGAGCAAGCAAAAACGTTCTGTGTAGAGACAGAGGAGACCATTCAGACATGATATTACCTTTTTTCAGCATCATCATCCTTCCTTCTGTTCTAGACAAAGCCGGTGAAATAGCTCAAAGGGCTACTGCTGTCTTTCTTGTTTTTCTGTGGTGTAATAGTCCTTCTCAATCATGTCATATTTGATTGGTTCTAAATTCAAAACTGATTGGCTTTCATTTTTACCTGTGTTCTGTCAACCAATAAAACACAGAAAAAAGACAAGAAAAATTATTTATTCTCGGTCTTCTACCATTTTTATTACTTGTACCTGGAAGTAAACAAATTGAGTAAAAACCTGTTGCTTCTCACTGGTGCTACCTAGAAAATTGTGGTGTTTTAGCTCAGCTTACAGAAGTGCAGCTGTAGGTTGATTCTGTCGCGCTTTTATTTGCAAAACGATGCCTCTTCAAATGCAGCGCAAACTCCATAAAAAGCGGGTGAAATGCCAAAAATGCGCACATTCGGTCTGTTTCCAACACAGTAGCGAGATGAATCTGTTTCTGTTTCGGAAGAGCATCGCTCCTAGTACCAAGCCTACGTCAAATGACTGACATTCGAAGCTAACCATTCGGAAAAAGATCAACAATCTAAAACGGCCTGATGCATCTAGTAAAACTTGTTCTGATCGTTAAAATCTCGACTTAAGTTATTGAATTTATTTTCATCATGTAGCGAAGCAGATCTGTATTAGAATATTGAACTTCGAAAAACCACAAAGCAGTTTCTGGTTACGAAAACGGGCATTTAAAAGACGGTACCAAGTACATTGACCTTCTTAACGCTTTCTCAAAAAATGACATTTCAAACTGGAGCTCATTTGAACAGGAAGCTCTCATATCCTATCTCTTTCGCACAAAACTTATCGAACTCTTATTAGAGCAGCAGACACAAGATCTACATCACGCATACGCGAAGTTACACTCAAAGCATTCTCGTCAATATTCTTCGATATATCTTTTTAGACAGTTGAAATCTAATCTTAACCGACGCGAAGTATTACGATGTCCTACAATGCAAACGGCTGTAGCAGTCTGGCTGGCGAAGATTCGAGTAGCAATAGCCAAGGTCAAGTCGAAAACCGTGTTGGTACTGTTTTAATCGGTAAATATATACATAGTTTCTCAATCAACTAAGGAAACGAGTGTTAGAGGCTCACTGCTCACACAAAACAATATGTAGCAAATGATTTAAAGATGAATAAAGCGTTGTATATACAAAAAAAGGCTTTGCTAACTTTAACTTGAACCAAGTTCGGATGTATAAAAGAAGGAATTTCTGTGTTTGTTGTCGTTCGTGATTGATAAAGTTCTATCTATTGTTTAATGTACAGAAAGAAATGAGCGGAGAAAATAAAAGGTAGATAGCTTGTTACACTTTATACAAAACGATCAGATTTAATCAATCTTAATGATTCTCAGTATCTTACTTAACAACGGAAAACTGATTCTCGCAAAGAAAACAAAGTTTGAAAGAAGAGCAAAAATACATTTCTACAAAAAACTAATATTTCAGCTCAAGATAAAAGCTTCTTCTCAATATAGATAAGCCTCTAGCATTTTCTTGAGGGAAAAGTAAAATAAAGTTTCATACTTGACATAGCATAACAAAATAAAAGTCATATAAATATGAAACATTATGGTCATTGCTCGTCGTTAGGTTCATATGATGTCTTAAAAGAAAAAACAAACAAACTATTTGTTTTTTGTTTGATATTGGCGGGGGAAAAGCAAAGAAAAGACCCGGTTCAAGGTCACTCATAGATAACCTTCTGCCCTGCTAACAAAGTCTTTCGGGTTTTAGTTACGATTGGAGCCGCGTTTATTTAAGGCACATCTTTAGACGTAGGGAAATGTTTTTCTTCCGCTAAGTGCAGATTTGTCTGGCAAGATGTAGTTTTCCCTGTCTAAAGAAAGTTGTAAAGATTTTAAATAATGTCTAAAATGTAGTACAGAGCAAAAGGAGAGACATGGTAAGACTGACCTTGTAGTATCATTGTGTCAAATCGCCCTTAGAGGTGTTGTAAGACGATGATGATTTCTTGGTAGAAAAATACACAAATCTTTCTCTGCCACAAACACTGATATCTCATTCGTTTCCTCAATAACTAACTCCATCTTCGCTGTTTCACCATTTCTTCCTCTTTTGTTGTGGATACTTTTTCCTTCCCTTTAAACAACGTTTTTCGAGTTTATGGGCAAAGTTAAGAATAGAAATTTTAAAACCAATGCGGCTATCATATTAAGAATTTTAATAAAAAGTTCTCTTTCGATTCTCCATTCATAATCTCGTTCTCTTTCTTTCCTCTCTCCTTGTCATGCACATGGATTTTCATCCTTTTTGGTGATGTGTGTGCCTGGATTAGAAAAACACTAGATAATATACAATCAGTTATTTTGTTTTAAACTTTATGTAACATCCTGTACGAGGAGAAACTTGAAAATGACCGTATTAATAGGTCGAAATATCG